GCGTTCCGCTGTTTGACAATAAGTCGCCTTCCGTCCTTGAAGCCCTTCAAGAAATTTACCTCTACTTGCGGGCACTCAATCTTCCAGTCTTGCGTTTGCATACCGATAGGTCGCGTGAGTTCATGAATAAGGCCACTCGCAAGTGGTTTGCAAATCAGCTCGTGAGGGTCACCACAACTGAGGGTGATGCGCCAGCCCAAAACGGCTCAGCAGAGCGCACCATCAGGTGGCTTAAGACTCGGGCACGAACTCTACTGCGAGCTGCTGATTTCCCGCCGCCCCTGTGGGCATGTGCAATGCGAGCTGCTGCAGCACAGCAGAGGTCTGAGGTACTAGGTATGGCCACGAAGCTTGCAGCGCCTTTTGGTGCTAAGTGCCTGGTGCGCGTGAAGGCCTACACGTCTGTTGCAGCTGCTAAGGGCGAGATTGCCGAACGGTGGATTTCAGGTCGGTATGCGGGTTTATCTCCAACGGTTAATGAAGGTCATTTGGTGTACAGGGATGATGGCAAAGGCAATGGGTTCACACAGTCGCTGCACGTGAGAACTAAGGTTGTTGAGCCTCCTGAGTGCCCTGAGCAGTTTGAGGGCGAGTCTGTCCCTGTAAGGCGTCGCGTTGTAGGAAAGTCCCCGCCAGAAGCAGAGCTGAGAGCTGCCCAGCTCGGCTCATGGACGTGGTCTGAGCTTGAAGCTGGCGCAAAGACTTTGCTGCAGGAATGGGATCCTGAGGCTGCCAAGAATCTCCTCATGCAAGTTTGCCAAGCCTACCCCGAAGAGCAGTATCAAGCTGGAATGTTCCGTAGGGGAGGGATAGTAGGCTGTATGCGATCGACTTGGAGTAAGCCGTGGCTTGCCTCACTGTGCGCGCGCCTGTTGCAGCATCACGCACCTGATGCTACCTTCACGTCGGTGTGTTTGTCCAACTCGTGTCAAAAGGACATTCACACTGATTCTTCCAACCTTCCGGGAACTACAAATCTCATCCTACCAGTGTGTCTTCCTAAGCGTGGGGGCGATCTTTGGGTTGAGTTAGGTAGTGGGGATGTTGTTAGGGGGTCTATTGTAGAGCACACTGATGCACGAGGTCGCAAGCGTCACGGTGTGGTGCACAGACTTGAAGAGGATGAAGTTTTCGAGTTTGATCCTAAGCGGCATCATTTCGTAACTCCCTTCAAGGGCACCCGCGTCGTTGTTATAGGCTACACTTCCGACGTGCTTGGAAAGGCCGAAAAAGATGACCTTGACGGCTTAGCAGATTTGGGATTTCCTCTCCCAGACTCCGCCTATCTCCAGGCCCCGCGTCTGTCTCAAGTACAGGAGGAGGAGGAGGCCACTGAGGCTCATGAGATCCCTATCCATCAACACCCTAGCTTCCCGGAGAGCCAACCCGTCAACAAAGGTGGTGGTTGGCAAGAGGTCTTTCCAGTTGCAGATGGGTTTGTAGACTTCGCTGTGAACTGGTCGTGTTCGTATCGGCCAGTTGCCCCTGTATGCAGCCCCTCTAAAGAGGAGGCCGGACCAGAGCAGAACCAAAGACCCGTTGAGATTGATGAGGCCTGGCCGGTTACTGTGTCTTGGGACATGTATGTTCCGCAGGAGCCCATGAGCGATGCCGCAAACGCCAGCAACTGCAGTTTGAGGGTGCTTAAGGTTGTAGAAAGTGGTTCGCGGAGCTCGTTAGAGGAGGAGGGTTTCGTAAGCGAAGGTAGACCCGTAATCCCCTACCGCCTGTGCAAAGCCGAACCGACGTTCACGAAGAACATAGAACACCTTCTAAGCAATCTAAGCTCACCTCTGCAAATCGTTCACACTGTAGACCCCGCAGAAGTCGCACTCAATCCAATCCCTTGGATTCCGTCCATTGAGAAAGAAGTAAAGGCCATTGAGCATGCGGTGCTCAGACTGCGCCCTTCAGACCCCAGGCAGGCCGAGTACTTGAGTGATCCTCGACTGCAGGTGGTACCTTCCAAGTTTGTGTTCACAGTGAAACCGCCCGACCAAGGGGCAGCAGCTGTTGGTGACACTGGGAAGCTTGCGCTCACTCAGCCCGACAACAGTACAGAGGCCCTTCAGGGCGCTCCAAAGGCTTCGTCGCAAGGCCAAGGTTTGTACCGTCGGAAAGCGAGACTTGTTGCTTGCGGAAATGTGGCGCCAAATACAGGCTTGGATGTGTATGCTGGAGGTGCTCAGGCTGAGAGCTTGAGAACAGTGATTGCCCTGGCAAGCTTCTTTGGTTGGTTGTTGGGAGTGTTGGATATCACCAGCGCGTTCCTCAAAACGCCTATTCCTTGTCTTGAAGGTTTCCCCATCTTTGCGTTGACCCCGCCCCGCTTGTTGGTCAAGCTTGGTCTTGCAGTTGCACATGAGCTGTGGATACTATCCCACGCGGTTTACGGCCTTCGAGAGGCCCCGCGCTTGTGGGGACAGTATCGAGATGCTTGTTTGGCAGCGTTGGTGTGGGACCTTGACGGCGTGACCTACCGGCTTGAGCCTTCGACCCTAGACCCGAACTGGTGGAAAGTCGTCAGGGTTGAAGGTGGTCGCGTTGAGGGCGCATTGTTGGTGTACGTTGATGACTTCTTGTTGTGTGGGTCGCTAGGTGTCCTTCAAAGTTTGGCAAAGGCTCTGCAAGAAAAGTGGGCCACAACACCGTTTGTGGTAGCTACCCCAGAGCAGCCGATCAAGTTCCTTGGCGTGGACATCATTGTCATTCCTCGTGGGTTTGTCCTCTCACAGCAGTCGTACGCAGAAGAAGTCTTGCGGCTTCATGAGGTACCTTGCCACGTGAGGGGTAAAATCCCTTGTCCTCGGGAGCTAGCGTCGTTTGAAGTTGGCGAAGGAGACTCCAGCCCCCCTGACGGGGAGGCCGTTCACCGCGCGCAACAGGTGACTGGTGAACTGCTGTGGTTGTCTCAACGTACTCGCCCGGACCTCGCGTTCACTGCCAGCTTGCTTGCTAGTTTGTCTACGAAGGCGCCTTGTCGTGCTCTACGCATTGCTGACCGTGCCTTGGCTTACTTGCAGCGAACCAAGACAGCGTCGCTGGTGTTTGAGGCGGACGGAACCCAACTTCACGGTTGGAGTGACGCAAGCTTCTCGCCAGAAGGCCTTCGCTCACATGGAGGCTGGTGCGTGTGTGTGCATGGATGTCCAGTTGCTTGGAGGTCGGCGCGTCAAGCTTTTGTGACACTTTCTACTGCTGAAAGTGAACTCACTGCTTCGATTGAGTGTGCAATCGCGCTTGAATCAATTGAGGCGTTGCTTCACACGGTTGGTTTTGACGTTGCGGAAGAAAGGGTTTTGCACGTTGATTCCCAAGCGTCACTTGCGATTTCTGACGGTCATGGATCATGGAGAACGCGACACCTACGGGTAAGAGCTGAGTACCTTCGTGAGCAGACTCGCTCTGGGAAGCTGAGGCTTGCCTTCTGCCCGGGTGTGGAACAGCTTGCAGATCTACTGACCAAACCTCTTCCGTCTGCAAGGATTGAAGAGCTTGTCAGGTTATGGGGCATGCGTGACTTTGCGGGTGATACAGCCGACCGAGAGGTCAGGCCGAGCTCGTCAGCAGCTGTCGACCCAGTCGCGTTGAGTGCCTTGTTGTGTTTGCTTCAAATCCCTGCACGAAGCTCAAGCCGTGAATCCGAGTATCCTGGCTTGCAGCTTGATGGATCCCTGGAGCTGTACTTCGTTCTTGGCATGGCATTGGTTTGTGTCCTTGTTGTGTGGGAGTGGTTGAAGAGATTGTGGGATCGGCTTGATGCGCGGTGGGCTGGTTCGCATGCGTCGTCTCGTCGAGCCCGTCGTTTGAGGCGTATGCAGAGAGCTGTTGAGGATGAGCTTGCTGCCCAACTGCAGGGCATGAGTCTTGAGGACGTGTCTTCCAGACCACCAGCAGGTGAGTCCACAGCTCACAACGAGAGGGCACCTGTGCCTTCGCAGTCCTCCCACGAGTTGCCTGCTGCACCACGGCCCAAGGCCACACAGTCTCGTCGCCGCCCTGCAGTGCGTGAGCAGTCTACTCAAACGGATCGTGAGCCTGCTTTCCAACCAGTCACAGGAGTCCCACCAGATCCGATGCCTGCCAGGATCGAAATCCGCACGCAGTATGAACTTCCCCAAGGTCCCTTTTACTTCACTGCGCACGGGGATTGTGTTCATCTAGATTCTAATTGTTGGGGTTTAAGGCGTAATACACCCTTAACTACCCGCAACTTGTGCCGTGTTTGCAGAGACCGCCACCGCACAGGTCTCTAAAGGCAAGCCAAGGTTCAAGGCTAGAGGTCCCAGGAACGGGCATGCTGTAAATAGTGCAGCGTGTGCTAGTTGCCTGTCGGCTCTAGCAAGGAGGAGTGTTGAAATGCTTCTCACTGCATGCCCAGGTATCAGGTTAGACAGGTGTGTAGTCTGCTTGAAGGGATTGCCGGCACTTGTATAGTTTCCTTCAGGTAGGCTTGTACATGTGTGTTTCCTGTATCCTTTGGCTTAGGGGAAGGCTGCGTAGGAAAGCCTCTTGAGCCATGTGTACTGTAACCAACAACTTGTAAAGCTGTACAGGTCGTTTGTTGGTTTGTCGGTTCTCTTGTTGCTTCGTTGAGATCGTGAGTCGCCTCTGCGCCCAGCCATAGAAAACATTCTGCGTGAGCTTCGCTGCAGGGTATGGCCACCCAGGGTGAACACCTTCAACACTAACCCTTAAACCGAGAAGCCCTAAACTCTGAAACTTAAGCCCCGAACCTTAAAGCTTGAAGCCCTTGACCCAGGCAAAAACCTACCGATCAAAGAGTGCATCCTGAAGCCCAGGGGGAGAGCTGTTTCTACGAGCCCTACGTAGCGGGTTACGAAAGCATGGGTATTCTGGCTGTATGTTCGGTTCCCTGCCCTTAACACCCTTAACACCCAAAACTTCAAATGAACCCTGATAAGAAACATTATAAACCCTAAACCCTGAACCTTAAGCCCCAAAGACGCGCCCAGGCTCTTGGGTCTTAGGCTTGCCACCTCCAGGGACACGGCCAGTTCGCCAGCTGTCCGTCGCGGGTTTCGCGGGGGTCCCTGCCAGGTGGCGAGGAGCTTTAGGGCTTAGGGTTTAGGGTTTAGGGGTTTAGGGTTTAGGGCTTAGGGTTTAGGGTTTAGGGGTTTAGGGTTTAGGGTTTAGGGGTTTAGGGTTTAGGGCTTAGGGTTTAGGGTGTAGGGCTTAGGGTTTAGGGTGTAGGGCTTTAGGGTTTAGGGTTTAGGGTGTAGGGTTTAGGGTTTAGGGCTTAGGGTTTAGGGTTTAGGGGTTTAGGGTTTAGGGTGTAGGGCTTTTGGTCTTCACATAGGACATAAGGCCTCTGAAAGCTCGGGTACTTATGGACCTGAATAATTAGACTAGGGTCTTGGGGCATGTATATTCTGATAAGGGGTCCTCTAGGGAACAGTGGAGGCAATTTCTTCGACCGACTGGGTTTCGGGATACTCATAATAAGGATCCAAAATACTCAGGGTCTAAACCACATCGGGGGTCCTAAGCCCTAAACCGCACACCGACCAGCCGGATCAGGAGTGCTTCAGCAATGAAAGGCCGTAATGCTTATTGGAGTAAGGTTTTGGGAGACATCACATAGGTTGAAACGGTTGCCTCAAATCCTTGAGCGGACAGCTGCACCTCCGTTGCCTTCCTGTTCCCTCCAAAACCATGACGGAGGATCTGAATAACCACTGCCAGTCTGGCTGTCAACAATGGTTGAGTTGGGGGCTCCACACAATCTTTACATGGCATTGTGTTAACGGTTTGAAGCTTTAGGGTTAGGGCCAGAATCATTACGTTCACACACCATGTTCCAAGTGGATGTCCTGGTCAGCTGCCAAAGGTGCATCGTCAAAGTGCTGCTGTGGGTCTACGTTTGCTTCATCTCAGATGACATGACTTACTACGACAAAGCTCCGACAGGAATTCGACGCGCTCCCTGAATACTGAACAGGTTGCTTGCGTTTCTTGGGCAGCCCGCCGGCGGCAGGGGCTGCACGGATCCGCAGCCCGAGTTCCTGGTCCTAGGACTCGGTGGAGCTTACGCTTCTTCTGGCCATGTCCCAGACTCGCCGCCTCAGCCGCCATCAACAGCTTCTGGTTGCCTCAAAACCCTGGAGCTCCCTTTGTCTCAGTGTGGCTGCTGCCTTTCAGCACCCGTTCTAGCTCACTGAGTCGTCCACGAGCAGCATCCGGTCAAGGCCAACTCCGAATCTGCCTGGCCGCCCCGTAATAACTGACGATACCCGCAGCCCCGAAGCCGAAAGCCTGAACCCAAACTCCATGCTACACTCTAAAGTAAACGGTAACCCTAAACCGCAAAGCCCAAACCCTAAACCTTGAACCCTAGAGCCCAAACCCTAACCTGACTGGCCCTAGGGCTGTGCCTGCAACACGGGTCGAAGAAAACGAATCGTTTCATGAAACCCAAGCTGAAACCTAGCATCCCTCAACCTATGTCATACAATGCCAGCTCCTCAACCTTACAAGCCCCACGTCAACGGACCCACGATTCTGTGAAACTGGCAAGTAGGAGCAAAATGAAATATCCTGACTCTAAACGACACAGCCGTACATGAGTTCAACAAGTTTCTACTATATCCCGAATACCACGCTTGCGATGAAAGACAGCCTCCAGTGACCACTGCCGCAAGGTTGCACAAACCTGCCAGGTTTCGTCCTTAATTACGCCAAGTGTACCCAAACAGTACATACTAGGTACTTTTACCTTAAGGTACTCCCTGTATATGTACTTTAAAGGCCATACTCATACCTTAACGTACTCCCTGTATACGTACTTTGGGCCAAAGTATAAGCTATTTGGCAGTTTTGGGTACATGCACCCTTTGGGCTCCTGGTATCACGTTTCGGGCTTAGGGTCTCCAACTTATAACCAAAAACCCTTTATAGTAGTAATGTTAGTACTAAGATCAGTAGTATACTAATACTATAATGCTAATACTAATATACCAATACTAATACTAACTCCTCCTGCTCCTGCTCCTCCTGCTCCTGCTGCGCTATTGCTACTGCTGCTGCTGACGAGTGGACAATCACCACATGAGTTTGGGGCACATTGTTCTGTGGTGCGATGAGGCTAGGCAACCCAGGAATGCTACGTGCGCGTATTACTAATCATGCAGGCGCGCAAAACCTTCGAAAATCCGGATCGAGCCTTTGCAGAACACTAAAACCCACTTACGCAACCTTTCTCAAGCCACCGAAAGCATCAACAAGCGCTTTGACGGCTGGAGTTGCTTACAAGCTCTAAACCCTAAACCAATTTTGGTGCTTCGGGTCTCCGGATGCGACACTCGCCCTCTCTCGCGGCTTGCCCCCGAATAAACCCTAAACTTGCATCCCGAAACCCCAAAAATTCTGCAAGGACGCAAAAACTTTAAACCCAAAACCGGTCAACTCAATTTCCGTGCTAGACCGACAAACTCTGGGCAAAAACCCTTTCACCTAGAACCTGCAAGCGATCTAACAAGCCGAGTCAATATGATCACCAAACGCTTATGGTCTTTTTTTCGGAAACACACTGTCAATGTTGAGCCCATTGACAGTCCCCATGGAACCCTTTCTAGAATCGATATGGGACCCGTCTAATCCAACTCTATTCTAAATCTGAAAAGTGAAAAGGTCCGCTAAATCCTCTTGTAGAGCCCCTCTCTAGACCCCAAAGAACCTTCAAAAGAAACCTCTGACCCCTACTCTGACAGACCGTTTTGTAGACCCCAATAAGGAACCCTTCGTTTGAACCTATAACTCATATCTAGCTACCGAAACAGTAAACCCGTCCTACTCAAAACTTTGAGAGAGCCCTAAAAAACGTTCAAAACAAACCAACTACCCTACACCCTAAACCTCTAGACTCGAAACCCTAAACCCCTTGACCCTAAACCCTGAGCCCCCAAAACCCCTGAACCTCTAAACGCTACACCCAAACCCCTAAACGCTATAACTAGCTTACCAGCCGCCTGCTTGATCACTTGCTCGGACAATTGGCCGGCCTGCTTCGGAGTTTGGGTTTAAGGTTTCGGATTTAAGGCTTGGGATTTCGTGTTTTCAGGGTTTGGGGTTTAGCTTATTTATCCTCTTTTTTTTTGAGCCCCTTTCTCCCGAAGTCTCTAGCGACAGCGACTCCAAGAACACCTTCCAAAGGCCAGGAGAGCTTACTTCTTCCGGGCTCAGGCTCTAGGTCTTCGGAATTAGGGGCTTTGGAGCTAGGGCTTTTAGGCTTTAGGTTTGGGGGCTTTTTAGGAGTATTTAGTTTGGGAGTTTCCGAAAATAGGGGACCCTGATCTAGTACCCTAAAAAGTAGGATCCTCATTTTCAGGACCGCAAAATAAGGTACCCCCCCACATCCGCACCCGAAGAGCCCTGAGAAGGTAGGCACCGAAATAGCAAGAAAGTTTCTGTTGTTCAGGGCTTACCTTTGGTTAGTAGGGAATGGAGGAATGGGGTACAATTATAACAACCATTACTACCCCTACTAACCAAGGGTAAGAGGGAGGAGCACCAGATCGCATGATCTTTCACCTTGAACGGTTTGCAAGACGGCTGCGGCCGCAATGACAGGAGTCGCGAGGCATCTAGCCGAGAACTTCGTAGGGCTGCTTCGTCCCGGTTGACATAGACCCTGAACTTTACCTAAACCGACCAAAACCTACTTTTTTTTTAGGGTCCCTATAAATCCCTTATTAGGGTTTATAATCAGAACCAACAAAAAAAGTAGGTTACGGTAGTTTAAGGTAGATCCACCTGCCCTCAACCTTTAATCATACACTCTGCCGGTGAATCCTGAACCCCGCAACGACCTCCCGAACCTGAGCATCCTCAACACCTGGACCCTGAAACCCCGAAACGCCTAAGCCATAAACCCTAAACTCCAAACGCTAATTAGACCCTAAACCCAATGCTCTGATCTTTTGAAAATAAGCCCCCAACGCCTTCAAGCCTAAACCCCGAACCCTGTTAGCCCAATCCCGATATCCCAAACCTGCGCATCCCCTCCCGTTCGCTCCCCTCTCCACCGCGCACCTCAGGCTGAGCCATGGCTGCAAATCGTGCGCGGCCGGTATGTTCGTACTATTGTATGTCTGCACGTGACTCTACAATGCTATGTGATCTCTTTGCTGTCACATTTAATTCATCCGCTTGGCGCAAGTATTTTGCAGTTCACTTCAACATGAGCAGAAGCACCCTGAGGGGTTGCATGCACCCCTAGATGTCGCTGCCGTGCTAAAAAACAGTCATATATGCCCTGAGTGATGGAATCCTTACCGTGACGACCCTGAAATGGGGCATCCATGATAATCCAAGCAGAGAGTCATTCACTCGCGGATGACTGGCCTTGCTAAAAAACTTCGAGCCCAAAGGGGTTGAAGTCGGCGAAGGCGGGTTTTTGGAGTTTGGGGAGCTTCGTCGCGCTGCAAATGTCATAGCAGGGCGGTAGTGACCGGAGCATGTGCTATCAGTTGAACAGTTGTTTTAGGACTGGCAATAAGGGGACATTGCTACTCATCACCAAGGCCCCTATGTTCATTTGCTGGTTTTGGATCTATGATATAGCTAGAACATTTAGCCCGGACACCCAAGAACCCGAACCGAAACCTGAAACCCCCAAGCAAAACACCCTAATGGTTGCGGGCCCAGGGTAGCTTCAGGTGATTCTTTTGGTTAAAAACTGATTGGGGGATACGATATATTTGGGTCTTTGGGTTAGATCCTGAAGAAGCCTCGAACCCTAAACCGTGAAACCCGAAAGCCAAATCCTTTAGTCCCACGCAGGAGCGCTAAAACCCTCAACCCGAAACCTTGAATTCCTTATAGGTCTGTGAGCTCTACTAGGAGATCTAACACCCCAAACCCTTAGCCGCAAAGCAATTTTATAATAGATCATAGATCCGTTATAAGCCTCTTATAAGCCCTAAACCCCGTTTAGGATTTTAGGAGCCCTGAAACACCAAAACTCGAACAAAACGCAGAGGACCCGAGCCGGAGCTTGCCCATGTCCGATAAGATGCCTTCTTTGGGTTCATGGGTTCAGGGTTTTAAATTTACGGTCCAGGATTCAGGGTTCAGAGTTTAGGAGTTTAGGGGGATTAGGGGGGTTTAGGGCTTTGCGGTTTACTGCAGGCTTTAGGGCGTTAGAGTTTTGAGCTTCAGGGCTTAGGATATAAGGAGGTTGTGGGGTGGATCGACTTCAGGGTTTAGGGCTTAGGGTCTGGATGGCACTAGATGGCGGCTTCGGGTAGGTCTGGAAATTCAGGGTTGCTTGCCCTTTTCAAGCCCCCGTGTTGACCCACTTCTGGATCCAGTATGTCATTGTATAGCTTTTGATAGTATACTACATACGGCATTTACATGATTCCTCTCTGACTCTAGGCAGTACTAAACCCGTAAACACGAAATCCCTAAACCCATGAACCTTATGAATCCTAAACCCTAAACACCAAAACCCCAGAGTATCCCAGACCTGCTTTCGTCGATCCCCGCGGCTGTATCTAGACCTAAAGAAACCAAAAGCCCAGAACTGAAGAAAAGTTGAAGGGTTCAGGGGCTCGGGTTGGGGATTTAGGAACCATAAATCTGTAAACATCTACCCTGATCGGGTTTGGGATTTGAGGATCACAGCTGTTAATCCGACCCACAAGGCGAGTCTAGTGTGGAAGACCTGTCCCATGTGCCTTTGAACTTCTTCTCGACCGTATCGAAGGCACCCATCGTCTGCAGATGTTGAATGCAGATTTTCGGGAGCACAGAGGTGCGGGGTTTATAGGGTTTAGGTCAGGGTTCTGGGTTTCCAACAAGCCTATCAGCCTTCACGGAAAGCTTCGTGGTTACAGGATCGGGTTTCGGAACTTCTAGAACCCTGTCGCGGGTCAGAGGATGGGTTGCGCAGGGCTTCGGGGTTGAAGGCTTTTGAATCCTCTGTTAGAGGATCCCGTGAAGGGGACGGATTTTGGCATTTCTTCGTTGAGGCCTTCCCGTGTCTCGTACCAATGCTCTCTTGGTCAAGGGTTGACGCTGTTTAAGGTTAGTGCTCAGGGCATTCAGGCTTTGGGGCCTGAACATTTTCTTAGGTATTGAGCTTAAGGCTTTTCTGTGCTGAGCCACCTCTATTTCCAGTCTTCAACCTGGATGTTTGGTCTGGGTTGTAGCAGGCAAACTGGTGAACATCGGCAAGGCTGCAGAGGGCGACGAAGCCGTTGAGTTGGATGCATAAGAAACGGCACGTCGTGAAACTTGCGGACATGGATGACCTGGTATTTGGACACACCAATAAACAAGAACTCCAGCTCTAAATCCAAAGAGCAAAGACCTAAACACAAACCTCTGTGTCCCGAACCCGAAGCCTGGTGTTTAAGTCACAGACGATTCTAGTTTGACGCCGGTTTCGCTACCATGAAATCCGAACGCTTTAATTCAAACAGTCCTGATTAAAGTCCTAAACCACAGAGCTCAATTTTTAACAACAAATGCACTCCTGAAGCCTAAACCTCGTCTTAATGCTACTTCGCTCTCATCTGTGCCGCGCCTTCCGCGTCACCTTAAGCTCCCTCGTGGCCGTGTTGCCGTGGCTCTGTCGCATGACCTGCGCGAACATGGATAAGCTAAAACTCCAAACTGAACCTCGGCTCAGAGTCCCAAAAACCTAAAGCCCTGAACCCTAACACCCTACAGTAAACCCCATAACTTAGAAGCTGCCCCCACCCTGTAATAGTTACTACAAGGATTATGTTAGGGCCTTATTATCTTCCTATTATACCACTATTACAAGGTGGGGGCCCCCTCTAACCCATAACCCTAAACCATAAAGCCCTACAGCCAACACCTCAAAACCGACATGCCGACTTCAAGCAGCCGGCAACAGTCCTAAAACTTCTTGGGCCTCACAACCCCATAATCCTAATACCCTATAACCCTCATACCCCATCATACTCTATCATACCGATACCCTATAACCTTAGTAATTCAACCAACTGGCTGTGATATTGCCGAACCCACAGCCACGAAGGGGTAGCCGCAATCGAAACCGCAACCGGGCCAAAACAATCTGCACTTGCTTGCTTTTTCGGCTCAGCCCCTCTCTCTCTCTCTCTCTCACACTCACTCTTGCGAACGGTCCATACTGCATCGCTCTGTGCTGCTTCTTTGTTTCGTCTGTGCGTCTGTCCGTCTGTCTGTCTGTCTGCCTGCCTGCCTGCCTGTCAGTCAGTCAGTCAGTCAGTCTGTCTGTCTGTCTGTCGGTCTGTCTGTCTGTCCGTCTGTCTGTCTGTCTGTCTGTTCGTCTGTCTCTCTGTCTCTCTCTGTCTATCGAGCTTTCTTTCTTTCGTTCAGTCTGTCTTTGCGCCGACAGGTCTATCCTCGAACTGGGTTGGTGGACAGACATGTGTATGCATACCGGCAGATGATCATAGATACACACTCTAACCTCTCGGCTCTATATCCTAGCGGCCATCGCCCTAAGGGTCAAAGTGACTAATGATCATATACTCCACGCACTAACATGCACTAACTAACCTGAACCCCGGTACACCTACCACCGACCTTTTGGAGTCCCCATAGAATCGTTGGAAACGTTAGAGAAACCCCTGCTTTAATGATCGATAGAATCACCGGAGCCCTGGACTCTAACCTTCAAGGAGAAGGGTTGCAAGTTCAATATGATGAGGATTTTGGGTTTGCCCAAAACCGCCAAGACCCGAATCATCTCCCTGGACCCAACAACCAAAACCCCGAAACCCGAAATCATCTCCACAGAGCCCTTGCCTTGTTACACTTCTCCCCAGACATGATGTCCGCATCGAAGGATGGGTTACCATCCGGGTGCACTCGACCTCGCACGTACCTCGCGCTGATGGACCTTTAAGCTCGACAGCTCAGTGTCAACGGCAGAGCTGAAGATAGGGGCTATGCATTATTCTGTGGTCTAGCATAGCGACTTCAAGCCCTTCACAGATTCCGATGAATGGGGAAATCCTTAAACCTTTCGAGGGGCTATTTAGGGATCCAACACATGCTCTTAGAATGGTCTCCTTAAGGGCTCGTCAGGGCTTGCACTTCCGTGCTGGTGCTTCAGGCCGGCTTGTGTTACAAAGGGCTCTGAGCGCCCTAACCCCATGTCCCCTTTGCTTGGTAATCAAACCTACTAAATCCAGAAGCCTATTTATTTACTGGCAAGACAGATACGTCTCGGGCTGAGGGCTCCTAGTGGGCCCGTGTTCTAAGGCCTGCTTTGGAGATCTGCATAGGCGCTTTTTTGGCGGGCGCTTTCCAACTGCACGTAGTAGCCGAATCTGAATAGGTTTTGGGTGCAATCAGTGTTTATGGCGTTTTGACCATTGGAAATAGTATGCCCTCGTGGGTCAGGGTATATTGCATTTAATTACTATCCCATACCCCCAAACCCTAGTCTTATGTCAAAGGCTCCCTATTGCCGTCCGACCCCCCCAGCGCACGCGCAGAACTCCACGAACAGAACCTGGCCACCGTGGTTGGAATCGATCTTGCTGAACTGCTCCTGAGCCTGACACAGAACACCGAATGCTTAGGGCTAATCGTTCCTAGGTGCGGTTTGGGGATAAGATTTGAGAATTTAGGGGTTTGGATAGGCTTCCCAGACCATCGGGAGGATCCAAAAAGTAGATCCCTCCATGGGGGTTCCTATAAAGTACCCTTAGTAGTATAGGGCCCAAAATTTGGGGATGCACTTTCTAGATCCTTCCGGGAGTCTGCCTTTTGGGGACTTGACGTGAATGGCCCACAAAAAGCAGAGCCATGGGGAGCACTCCTATCGAGCAGGTTCGAGGTCGAGGGCTTTCGGGTTTGGGCCGATGCGTGCTAGGATCAAGATCTACTACATAGAGCCCGATAATAAGGATAGGGATATCCCATAGAAACCCCCTTTATCCTGAAGGTAGGGATACCCCCATAAAGTGCTTGTGCTTATGTGCTTTTGGGGTTCCCAACTACAAGCTGCGGCATCAGGGTGTAGAGCATAGTGCAAAGTTCAACCCTGCTCCCTACCCCAAACCGCAACCTTCCGTAACGCCAAATTAATTCCTAAACCCCCAAACAGGCGCGTTTACAGATCAGACGGGCTCTTCATCGGAAGTGAATAAAGGGTATGACGGTCCCTAAACCCTATACTCTGAACCCTTAACCCTATAACCCTAAACCCTAAACCCTATACCCTAAACCCTAAACCCTATACCCTAAACCCTATACTCTAATCCCTATACTCTAAACCCTAAACCCTATACCCTAAACCCTATATCCTAAACCCTAAACCCTAAACCCTAAACCGTAAACCCTAAACCCTATACCCTAAAGCCTAAACCCTATACTCTAATCCCAAAACTCTAAACCCTAAACCCTATACCCTAAACCCTAAACCCTATACTCTAATCCCTATACCCTAAGCCCTAAACCCTATACCCTAAACCCTAAACCCTATACCCTATGCCCTTTACTCTAATCCCTATACTCTGAACCCGTGATCCGAAATCTCTAGACCCTGTCCGGATGCGAACACTACTGAGACGCTTCGTCGGGGGGCTGAGGGCTGGAGAAATCCGGAGCTTGGCTCCCGTTCCCAGCTTTACTTTAACCTACCAAACCCTACTTTTTTGCAGGGCCCTAAACCCTAAACCCTAAACCCTAAACCCTACTTTTTTGCAGGGTCTTATTATGAACCCTGGCATGGATTGTTTTTGTAGGGTCTTACTATAAACCCTAGCATGGAATTTAGCTTTAGGGATAAACCGACGCCGCGAAGAACATCTACGTACATGGTTGTCGCCCTGAAATCCCTAAACCCGAACCAAAGGTCTTCGGTTGGCCACATGACCCTAAATAGCCCCTTGTGGGACACAGACTAACTTTGCGTAGCACATCACCGCTCACAAAGTGCGTATACAAACAAAACCTGAAGTGAAACTCCGCAAACTGCTGGGCAGTTGCATGCCCTCCAAACTCTGGTTGAAGTTGTGGCCGAATGTCAAACTCTGCAGGCTGCTGGGTAGTTGGAAGCCCTTCAAGCTCTGGTTGAACCCGACGCCAAACGTCAGACTCTGCAGGCTGCTGGGTAGTTGGATGCCCTCCAAACTCTGGTTGAACTCCCAGCCAAACGTCAGACTCTGCAGGCTGCTGGGTAGTTGGATGCCCTCCAAACTCTGGTTGAAGTCAGGGCCAAACGTCAAACTCTGCAGGCTGCTGGGTAGTTGGATGCCCTCCAAGCTCCGGTTTGCACCAAACGTCAAACTCTGCAGGCTGCTGGGTAGTCGGATATCGGCAAAGCTTTGGTTGAAATTGCTGCCACACGTCAAACTCTGTAGGGTGCTGGGTAGTTGGATATCGGCAAAGCTTTGGTTGAAGTTGCTGCCAAACGTCAAACTCTGTAGGCCGCTGGGTAGTTGGATGCCCTCCAAGGTCTGGTTAAATGCGCAACCAAATGAAAGACTCTGCAGGCTGCTGGGTAGCTGGATGCCCGCCATGCTCTGGTTGAACCTGCCGCCAAAGGTCAAACTCTGCAGGTTGCTGGGTAGTTGCGTGCCCTCCAAGCTCTGGTTGAAGTTGTGGCCAAACAGCAACCTCTGCAGACTGCTGGGTAGTCGGACGCCCTTCAAGCTCTGGTTGAACCCTGCGCCAAACGTCAAACTCCGCAGGCTGCTGGGTAGTTGGATGCCCTCCAAGCTCCGGTTTGCACCAAACGTCAAACTCTGCAGGCTGCTGGGTAGTCGGATATCGGCAAAGCTTTGGTTGAAATTGATGCCAAACGTCAAACTCTGCAGGCTGCTGGGTAGTTGGATGCCCTCCAAGCTCCGGTTTGCACCAAGCGTCAAACTCTGCAGGCTGCTGGGTAGTTGGATGCCCTCCAAGCTCTGGTTGAACCTCCAGCCAAAGGTCAAGCTCTGCAGGCTGCTGGGTAGTTGGATGCCCTCCAAGCTCTGGTTAAATGCGCAACCAAATGAAAGACTCTGCAGGCCGGTGGGTAGCTGGATGCCCGCCATGCTCTGGTTGAACTTGCCGTCAAACGTCAAACTCTGCAGGCTGCTGGGTAGTTGGGTGCCCTCCAAGCTCCGGTTTGCACCAAGCGTCAAACTCTGCAGGCTGCTGGGTAGTCGGATATCGGCAAAGCTTTGGTTGAAATTGCTGCCACACGTCAAACTCTGTAGGGTGCTGGCAGTTGGATATCGGCAAAGCTTTGGTCGACGTTGCACGTGAGAGACACTGTTTCGTTCAGGGCAGCTGCATCCGTGTCAGACGGAGTCCTCCGTGCGAACAGGTCAACCCAACCCCTCGCGGCCCGACCCGCGCCAAGCTTCTGCACCACGTATGTGATCTCACTGTGCTGGACATGATGCAGCAACAGCCGGTGCTGATCGATGACACCACCACCGGATGTCAGCACCAGTACCGCGGCAGTGTGGCCAACTCGGGCTGCGATGCGTTTCGCCACATCCCACCCCGTTTCGCCAAAACTGACCTCAAGCTCAAAGCTGGAACCTGCCAGGCCATGAACGCTCACGGTCTGCTTGGCCCGGTCCGAACCGGCCCCTGAAAACTGCGAGACGCTCGAAATCCGTTTCCGCTTCATGGTACCTCCGGACGCACACAAGCGGCCATGGCCTTTTCGCTGCGTTCCGTGCGGCACGAAGGTCCGAAGCCCGGATCTACTTTCGGGGGTACTGGGGCCTCTATAGGGCTTCGGGGTTTATGGAGGTAGGCTTAAGGCTGTTGCTTGTCACGGCGTTTTTTTTGGCAGCTTCTAGCGTCGAGGCCTGTATGCTTGAATATGCTTGAGGAAATTCCTGGGCATCCCACGCTTCAAAGCCAAAAGCAACACAAGCTCCACAGCCTCAACGCTGAAGCCCCGAACCCCATGTGGCCCAACTTCCTCAGCCCTAAACAGCATAATGGGATCTTAAGGTTCTCGCGCAGGTTGCATGATTGCAGGATGTTGCGCCCTTAATGTGGGTGTCGGTTTAATGGACGGGTCCCCCCCCCCCCCCCGACAAAAAAAAAAATAGCACGGAGCGGGTAACCCCGGACAGGGGTCAGGGGTCTGAGTGGCAGGGAATTGGAAGGTGCCGGGGTTTGCGGGCTGGCTTGGGTGCAGGGTCTGCGGTTCGGGTGTCGGGGGGGTCTGGGGATCACCAAATGTTGGTATCCAAGCCCCGATCACTCCAAGATTACTACCAAGACTAAAAACCCTTCATTTTGAACACTTTTGCCTCCGCAACCTACACTCCCACACTCCCACCCACAATCGACCACGTCTGAAGCTTGGTGCGGTACAATAATAGTACAGTAGTACAATAGTAGTACAATAGAAATAATACAGTAGTAGTACAATAGTAATACACTAATAGTGCAGTAGTACAATAGTAATACAACAGTAGTACAGTGGTAGTACAAAAATAGTACAGTAGTAGTACAATAATAGTACAGTAGTACAATAGTAGCACAATAGTAGTACAGTAGTAGCACAGTAGTAGTACGATAATAGTACCGTAGTACAATAGTAGTACAGTAGTCGTACAGCAGTAGTACAATGATAGTGCAGTAGTACAATAGTAATACAACAGTAGTACAGTGGTAGTACAATAGTAGTACAGTAGTAATACAATAATAGTGCAGTAGTACAATAGTAGCACAATGATACTACAGTAGTAGTACAGTAGTACGATTATAGTACCGTAGTACAATAGTAGTACAGTAGTAGTACAGTAGTAGTACAATAATAGTGCAGTAGCACAATAACAATACAACAGTAGTACAGTGGTAGTACAATAGTAGTACAGTGGTAGTACGATAATAGTCCAGTAGTACAATAGTAGTACAGTAATAGTACAGCAGTAGCACAATAGTAGTACAGTAGTACACTAGTAGTGAAGTAGTAGTACAACAGTAGTACAGTAGTATAGTAGTACAGTAATAATACAGTAATAGTACAGAAATAGTACCAATAAGCAAAACATAAAGCCAGTGAGCACATTCCCCCAATAAGCAAAGCATAAAGCCAGCGCCTGAAACCCTAAACCGTAACAAACCCTAAACCCTAACGAATCCTAAACTCCTAAACCTTAACAAACCCTAAACCCAAGCCCTAAACCCTTCCCAAAGGGGGGTCGGTCCAGATTCGACCCAAAATTGATTTTTTTATACAAACTTTAGTACTGGAGAGGCCTTTGTCGAGCAAGGGTCCAATTCCCAATTCGGCGGTTCACCCTAGCAGCCCCCCCCCCTAAGCAAGGCATACAGTAGCAGTACAATAGTACAATAGTAGTACAGTAGTAGTACAGTAGGACAGATTCTCATTCCTGACGCCCCAATAAGCGAAACAATTCTGCAAGAGATTTTCGGGTTTCAGGGCCAGGGTTTTAGGGTTGGGTGGGGGTTTGGGTGGGGGTTTAGGTCGTGGCTGCCTTAAGATTGACCATCAGCAAACAGCACGGCCCCGCCACCAAAAAATCACCCCAGCCCAAAAAAACGCATTAATTAGAACACCCAAATTTTTGGTAAGATTCGGAATTAGCCCCGGAGCCGACGCATTAAAGGGGCCTATATTCCAAAACCGACACCCACATTAAACCCTAAACCCTAAACCCCTATATTATAAACCCTAAACTCCCCTAAACCTTAGACCCCCCTGAACCCTAAACCCCCTAAACCCCCTAAACCCCCCTAAACCCTAAACCCCCATAAACCCTGAACCCGCTAAACCCCCCTAAACCCTAAACCCGCTAAACCCCCCAAACCCCCCTAAACCCTAAACCCCCTAAATTCCCCGAAACCTTAAACCTTAAGGATGAAGGTGCAAAGCGGGCACTGAAGTCCCAAGGCCTTCGGATCAAGGGGGGGCGCCCTTTCGTAGCGCGATATGGGAGCTTCCGAAAATTTCCGCTCCTTTAAAGGGATCCTTTAAGGGGGTTCTAAGTAAGGGTTCTATAAAGGGTTTAGGGTTTAGAGTTTCCGAAAATTAGGGGTACCTTATCTTGGGGATCTTACAATTATATAAGCTAGGATCTTACTATTTAGGGTAGTATAGTGCTGAGGGGAGGTATTTTATTTTGGGGTCCTTAATAAGTTATAAGGATCTTACTACTTAGGGTACTATAATGCTGGGAAATGAGGGCGTCCGTTTTAGGATGTAAAGTTTCAGGTTTGCGGCTTCGGCGCTAAAACCGAACCCCTAAACCGTATATCACGACCCAGAAAAACCCCAACACGTAACCCTAAACCCCTACACCCTGAATCCTTTACCCTAAATTTAAACCTCAAACCCTAAACCCATAAACCCTAGATCCATTACTAATGACCATGCACCCCCGAACCTTGATCCCCTTCCCCCTTTTGATCCTTACAACCCTAAATCCTTTGCCCTATAAACCCCGAAGCCCGATCCTTTTACCCTAGACCCTAAGCCTTAACCCCAAACCCAAATACCTTTTACCCATAACCCCAAGCTCGAAGCCCTGAACCCTTACCCATGAACCCTAAACCCCAAACCCTAAAACCCCAACCCCTTGAACCCTTACATACCCTAAAAACCCCAACCCCTGTACCCGAAACACCCAGACCTTCCAACATCCCTTAATTAATGAATATACCTTAAATCATATTAAGGATCCTACTATCATTTACGGTATATTCCTTAATTAAGGGATTTTGGAAGCTCTAGGCAGTCCACATCTGCCTCGGCAGGGCTTAGATGGAGGCCCAGCTGGCTCATTCCGCGGATAAACCTCGAGCTGGTTTCAGGGTTTAGGGTTATTCGGGTTTAGGATAAAAAGCTACCGAGGTTTAGGGTTTAGGGTTATTCGGGTTTAGGATACAAGGCTACCGAGGTTTAGGGTTTAGGGTATAATCGTATATATGGGAGTTTCCGAAAATAGGGGACCCTAATATAGTACCCGAAATAGTAGGATCCTTATTATAAGGAGCCCAAAATAGGGAACCCCTAATTTTCGGAAACTTCCATATAAGGTTACCAGGACTCCCAAGTCCAAGTGCACAGCAGTAAACCAGAGGGTAGTTGCGGGGTCATGTAAGGCTTCAGGCTTAGGGTTTAGGGGTTTAGGGGTTTAGGGTTTAGGGCTTAGGGTTTAAGGCTTAGGGGTTGGTAAGATACCGCTTGTCGGGTTTCTTGTTCAGGCTTCAAGCTCGTTTCGAAGCTTCGGGGCTCAAGGTTAGGTTTAACGCTTCAGGGGCGGCCCTGGGGTCTCCATGCTTCGGTTGATGATATAAATCCCTAGGGTTCCTTTAAAGGGATCTATAAGGGGTACCTTTAAGGGCTTCCTTTAAGGGATCTATAGGGTCTAGGGTTGATGATATACATCCTGCATTACCTTAAGGACCTTAAACTATGGGAATTATGGTATATTCCTTATTATGGGTAATGCAGGATTTATATCATCAACCGTTCTTCTCAGGTTGAAGCATTGGGCTTTCAGGTTCTAAAGTTGGGTTCTTCCGAAGACTAAGGTAGAGGGTAGAGTGTTAAATGATAGTTCCAGGTTGCACCCTAAACCCTAAACTTCTAAACACTAAACCCCTGAACCCTAAACCCTAAACCCCTAAACCCTAAACCCCTAAACCCTAAACGTGGTTTAGGTTGCGTTTCGGCTTCAGATTAATGGTTTCAGGCCCAGGGTGTTTCGGGCATCGATTTGGGCCAGGGGGTTTAGGGGTTTGTATGAATTGAGTTGGAGCTCTGGGTGGAGTAGGGGTCTGGATCGGTTGATCCATGCACCGAGCGCCATGCAGATAGTCGATCGGGCAGTCGGTCAGTCGGTCTGCCACTTTTTGTGATAGAGGAAGAGCCGGCATCGCCAAATGAGGGGTGCTTAAGATATATGGTAGACCGGAATCGCCACATGATGGGGCGTGTTTCAGGTATGTGGTGGACCGTTGTCGCCAAAAGTGGGGGCATGTTTAAGAAGATGATGAACCGGCATCCAGTGAGGGGGCGTGTTTAAAATATACGACGACCTGTTATCGCCAAACGAAGGGGCGTGTTTAAGATATATGATGAGCCGTTATCGCCAAATGAAGGGGCATGGTCAAGAGATATGATGAACCGGAATCACCAAGTAAGGAGGCGGCGTGTGTAAGATAAATGGCGAACCGGAATCGCCACATGAGGGGCCGCATTTAGGGGCCGTGTTTAATATATGATGAACCGATGTCATTAGCAAAACATGCGAATGTAGCGAGCGATCGTGTCCATGCGAACTCACAGACAGCTGCGCAACGAGGTCATATGTCAAATCATTCAAAGGTTTTGTTCCGCGCTTGGACAGGGCAAAGAAGTAGGGTTTGTGGAAGAACCGTTCAAGGGTTTGGGCGTCAGGGTTCTGAACCCTGCTCCGGCAAACCCTACTTCCTTCACATTCCCGCATGCTCTGCTACTCCAGTGGCTGCATGGGATGGAGGCTCCTAGCTGCGAGAAAGCCGTGCACGAAAGCTAGTAGGTCGTGGCTACTGCACAAGTCAAAAGCAAGGAAAGGCATAGGGGCCTATTGCTTGAGAGATAGGCCCTATCGCGATCGGGATAGGGGGCTGTGGAAAATCGATAGGGGCCTATGCTGCATAGGGGGCTAGCCTAAGTCGAGATAGGGCCTATCTATAGGGGTCTGTACGAATTCCCGTAGGGGTCTATCAGTGGGGGCCTATCGGAAAATGCATAGGGTCTATCTGTAGGGGTTTGGGGCCGCGGGCGGGGTCGGGCGCATAGGGGTCTATAGGAAAAGCATAGGGGTCTGTATAGGGGTCTATGGACGCCTATGGTAGGGGGCTACTTTCCAGACTCATCTTCGAGTAGGGGTTTGCCCGGTTCCGCAGCCTCCCCGTAATAGTAAAGGACCCTTTTTGCTGGTATTCAATAACACTTTAGGGTTCAGGGTTTAGGGCTTCCTGGTATTCAATACTACAAGGGCAAAAGGGTAACTACTAAGTACTGGGAACATAAGTGCAGGGCTTCGGGGCGCCTGGGTTGGAAGCTTCGTTTGTAGGTCTAAGCTCTAGTACTCGCTAAGCGCCATATGACTCCCCACTTTCCGGAGCCCAGCATCCGCGTTCCTGCTATGCTTGCCTGGGGTCGCTTTCCTTTCTTTGGGGCATGTAAAGACCGAAGATTCTTCTTCAAGGGTGCTGAGTCACTAGGTACACTTCGGCCTGTCAGAAATTTCAGATGGATCGTTTTAAGCTTAGGTTCAAGGCTTAAGTTCAAGTCCGGATTACACCCTAAACCCCAAACCCAAAGCTGTTGCTAAGCCCGGATGTGAGTCTGGTTTTAGGCGTAAGGGTCTTGGGGCATAGCGGCTTGATTGACGGCATATACTTCGGAAGCCCGATACCCTTTATTTCGGAACAACCGTTCCCCGGATAAAACCGCAATATGAAGCCCAACAATCATAATTAACGGGTGTTGCGCTCTCTGGGTAGCTTGGGTCAGACAGGCCACTCGTTCACGTCGATGCGGCGATCGTCGCCGGAATCCACGACTTCAAAGATCTGTGGGGGAAGCATGTCTGTAGGTCATGGCTTGCAGGCCATAGGATTGATGGTTTAGGGTTTGAAGGCTTGAGTTCGGGAATATAATATGTGTCGGTGTTTAGAGCAACCGTCGTCTGCAAACCGTGGCCTGTTTTTCTTCAGCCCAAAGCAGTTCTTCAGGGCTTGGCTCGGACTGTAAAGTCGAACCGTAACCCCAAACCGCCCTCAAACATCATTCGGAAACCCTCAACCCGAAGAGTTCTATGCGTAAGGGTTATTGTGAGGGTTGGAAAAGGAGGCCATTTGGGTTTGGGTTGGGGGGTTGTGATAGTGTTAGAGTGTAATCAGAATAAGGCACCCTACTCACGAATACCACTACTAACTCATTCATCCGGCTTCCATGACAGGCTTACGGTTTTGTTCGCGCTGCACTTCAAGCTATTCCGACAGAAAGCTTTGTTGTTGATGACATCGTTGTCTGTCTGGCTGTCTCTGTATATTCTTAAATTTCTTAACTTAAATTAGATTCCTTGTTCCCTTCCGAACAAAGCCTACTCATTCGCAAAACCTGGTGTGCTGCTCTCCATCAACCCACTGAACCCCAAACCCGAAACCCCAAACCAGCAAGGGATCCCAAACTTCCGGTGCCTGCCAAAGCTTGTTGAACCAGAAAATGTTCAATAGCAGGTTGTGAAACTCCCTCTTGGTGACCTCGCAGAGATAGTGTTCAGGGTTTAGGTTTAGTGCAAGGGTTGGACTGTCTGGGCTCTACATATAGGCCGCCCAAAAAGGCACCTAAGCAAAACCAGCAGGTTGGGATATGTCCCAAAATCCCCTCTTTTTGTGTGCCCGAGAACGTATCCAACCCCGAAGTTCGTGTGTGTGTGTGTGTGTGTGTGTGTGTGTGTGTGTGTGTGTGTGTGGGTGTGTGTGTGTGGGTGCGTATTGGATCCTGACTGTATGGGTTCAGGGCCAATGTTGAATTAGGACCGAGCACTCATATAGTCTGTAATGTAGTGGCCTGCAAAACTAGAATGGGGTTATGATATCGGCCTGAGTATGCATGATCAGGGTTTAGGGTTCAGTGCAAGAAGATCGGAAGTGTAAGACTGACGATCATAGCAGGGCAGAAAAAGGACTGCACGATTTCTACACTAGAGGGGTACCCCAATTCAAGGTGGCTTTAACCCGAAAGGTCGAGGTGTTCAATGTCACGGCTTCTTGATCATACCCAGAGCCTCCAAAACCCCTTAATTAAGGCGCGCGCGCCTAAAAAAAACCACCCTGAAGACAAAACCTATAGAGGAGCGGCCGAGGGAAGTGTACAAAAGTGTGGCAGGCGCAGCAAAATCGCACGTTTTGACCTTCCCCAGCGGTATTGTGGCAGAAGCAAAAACGGGACACGATTTCGTGTCCAGTTTTCTGGGCGCCCTAGGCGACCATCAGTGCTATCATCATCGATGTCAACATCGCTATCATCCTCACAGCCACCATCGATATCACCATCATCTTCATCATTCTCATCATCATCGTTATCATCATCGTCATCAATGTGTTGAGCAGTGGGCTTTTTGTGTGCTGGGAAAAGCCGGCCTGAATTTATTCTCCGGACCTGGGCTGCAAAGCTAGTCTTACGGCAGAAGGCGAAAACACTGGTGGGGCCGATGACTTTGAAGGTCGCGGCAAGTTTGTTGAGGTTTGTGGGTGGAAAAGGTATGGGGCAAAAGGTCTTTGCACAGTCACCTTTGCCAGATCGCTAGGTCATCATCATTGCTACCACGATTGTTATCATCATCGTCATCATCATCGTTATCATCATCGCCATCGCCATCGATATCATCGTGACCATCGTAATTTTCATCATCATCGTTGTCTTCCTCGTCGTGAACATTTCGAGCGGCAGTTTTTTTTAGGCGCGCAAGCCTTAATTAAGGAATATACCTAAAAACATATTAGGGGTCCTATTATAATTTAAGGTATATTCCTTAATTAAGGGGTTTTGGAGGCTCTGGGTACCGGAGAACTCCTCAGACTTCAGGCCCGGCAGTGCGCCTGCGAGGAACACCCGTCATCACGGAAAATAACCCCTAAGCGTCCATGTACCCAAATAGTATATACTTTGGGCCCAATGTACCCACATAGGGAATACCTTAAGGCCCATGTATATACCAGTTAGGTACATGGACCCTTAGGGTAACGCAAATGCCATCTCAGCACATCCACATTCAGCCACCAGCACAATCATATCAACACGGCCTCAGAAAAAACTGCAGTCACGGGCACCACCACACGGTCAGAACAGTGGCTTTCGCAGTCATATCACTCTGAGAACTGTCATACTCATACCCATCATATCCATCACCACCGTTATCACAATGTCAGGACTGACCAACATAAAACCCAAATTAACCCAAACAGACCCTAATAGCCCCTAAAACTCCATCTCCAGGCCCGACACCCACTTTAAGAACAGAACTGCTCAGAGCATCCTCGTCAAAACGTTTCGTCTCCCAAGCACAAACCTGGAAGCTTCAAGTTGTAAGCCGTCTTAAAGGTTTAGGGCTAACCCCAGCCTTCATGAGGCCCTTCAGTCTTAACCTCTGAAATCCTACATCCAAAAAAACCCTAAACCGGAACTACAAAACGGACCGACTTGAAGCCTAAATCCACCGCCCTACACTAAACCTGGCGACCCGAAGGCCAGATAACCCCAAACCCTAAAACTCCTAACTCCTCCCCTCCCCTGCCGCTGGGAGCCCAAACCCAGTCGTCCCCGTCGCCATCCTTGAGGATGGTCTTCTTGTAAGCACCTGAATACAAGGGGTCTTTACAAGGCCTCTTGCCAAGGTCTTACGGGGTGTTTTATGGTGGTTTTGTTGGGCCAACACATTTCGCGAGCCTGACTTTCATCATGGCAGTACATCTGGACCCTCCTGGTATCTAGACCTAGCCGCGGGAATCTTTGCCGAGTGTCCTAGCGTGAGGACAACGCTAAAATTCCGAGGTGTGTTGTGCTTCAGTTTCGGGTTTAGGGTTTACGAGGTAGACATACATTGGTAGTGTAACAGTGGTGTACCGCTATATTGTTATGCCGAGGAACACTACCGCCGGACACCGAATCACCCTAAGAACTAAACTCTTCTTCCCGCTCCCTGCACCTGCCTTGCGAAAGTCCTTCGTTGAGAATTATGACGACTATAAGGGGCTATTGCTACCCTTCATGTCGACACATAATACTCCATCACGCTGCCGGTCATAAACCTCACTTCCAGACCTTACTGTTTAGGGTTTGGGGGTCTCGCGTTCAAGGCTTCGGGGTTCAGGGTGTGGGGATGCATAAACTCCGAGACAGAAGCAGAACCCCTCCCCGAAGATGAGGCTCTTCACATCTGGTCTCCAATCCATTCCCTGTTTGGTAGGATCCTAGGGTTTAGGTAGTCGGACACAAGGTCATAGGCGACGAAGGTGAACAGAAAGAACAGACAGGTGCTGTTTCACTGGAAATTGGCGATGATCATGTCTAACGCGCTGGAAGTGCAAGGGTATAGGTCCTTAAACTCCTTAGATGTAAAGCTGGTTATAACCAGAAACCAAAGAGGAGCAACAATGGAGACTAGAGGTAGTCCCACCAACCATGTCGCCCGACCCAGACAGGTAAGCCCAGAGCTTACATGTAAACCCCCGGACGATCACGATCTTTCAGTGTGAAACACCAGGTACAAGGATCCCCCAGTATCCTCTCAACTATTCCGACTAGGGAAAACAAGCCTTAAAGACCGGAGTTACTTGATACTATAGACTATAGTCACATGGAGACCATATTATGGGAACATACATTGTAAGTATGCGGTATGATATGGGAGTTTCCGAAAATAGGGGACCCCAATATAGCACCCTTCAATAGTAGGATCCTTATTGTAAGGACCCCCAAAATAAGGTACCCCTAACTTTCGGAAACTCTAGACCCTAAACCCTCTATAGAGCCCTTATCGATCCCTTTAGGGAACCTTTAAAGTATCCCTTTAAAGGAACCCCTAATTTTCGGAAGCTCCCATATGGAACACTTAAAAAATCCACGCCCTGCTGGGATCCTCACGCATGAGAGCGGGCTTGTTGTTGAGCCACGAGGGCCACATGCCACCAGCAACCATCTGCAACATCAGCTCGCAGAGCTTGGTGGAGTAGGGTTTGGGATTGCGAAATGAATAAGCTTGCACTTTCAACTGAAACTGACTGAACGGACTTAGGGTTTAAGGTCTCGAAATCAGCGACTGCTGCCATGTTCTTCGGTGGCTCGGGCCTATATTATTGTTGCAGACATTCAGGCCAACCCTGCACAGTGTCGCCCCAGCTCTATTTAAGAATTCCTGAACAGTTTACGAAACGTGTCAAAGATACAAGCGCAACGTGACAGACTACATGGCTGTCGTAGCTCCTCAGCATCTACCAGCTCCGAAACTCCCAAATAGCAAGGAGTATCTTACACTATACGTCAGGAGCTGCAGAAAGGAATATCAGGACTAATGGTTCAGACCACAAGTCTGCATGCCCTGCTAGAATGGCTCCCGGATACCTCGACAACCAGCTTGTCGATCTCGGCCAGGCTGACCTCAGAAACTCTAATAAAAAAACCAAAAGGGTGGTTTAAGATTCGGCTAAACCCCTTTTGGCCTCCTCAGGAACTCGCGGGCCTGTGTAGGGCGTAGTTTCAGCGCAAGGCTTGGGGTAGAAGGCTGTGGTGCTTCTGGTGTCGAAGTCGGGAGTTGAGAGCCCTTGGGTTTAGGGAGTTTGTTGGGGTTCAGGGTTCAGGATTGGGTTCTGGGTCTTGTAAATGGCTCAGTCAGCACTGGGGCTTGAGAGAATGCGCCTGTCCATGATTAGGCTTCCCAACGCTGAGGCATGAAGGTTTGCAGGGTTTGCGGGCCCTCGCACCCCCCACTGTAACTGCAGGCGTATTTAAAGAATCAAAATTACCGACCAAAACCCTGCCCTGGTATATACTTAGGCCTTCAAGTAGCGGGTATACGGGCACATGGAGCCCTAGCGGATGTTCAAGATCCTGAACAGACCGAAGTGCCTCGCACTACTCACATCATACAGGCTGCAATGTTGTTGCCGTTGAAGTCCAAGCGTTTCCACAGCTGTCGTAGCTTGTCCATGTTGTTGAAGCCGTACCTGGGGCTGTTCGAACAGGGTTTGTATACTGTGTTACGGTAGGGCTTCATGGGGGGACTCCCTAATTAGAACGGGCTCGGGCTTCTTGAAAGTATAGCACTACATGAGGACTCTGGTGCGATCTGCTTCTTACTTGTTCAGACCCTTGTACAAGATGATCCAGATAGACCCTATAAGCCCTAAACTGTGTTGCAGCAGTGCCTAACTTAATTCACCGTCTCACGGAAGTGTTGAAGCGGAAGTACACCTTGACGACCAACGTAACAAATAAGTCGCTTCGCCAAAGTCCAACATAGTAAACCCTGACACTAGCTACGGCCTCTGAAGGCGGAACCCACATAACCAATCTTTGCTTTGAAAGGCTCTGTACTTGTTTAAGAACGTGTTCGACCTAAAATCCTAAACCTCAAAACCTGAAAACCCTAAACCCTAGCCCCCCAAAAAGCTCAACCTCAAAACCCGAAAACCCTAAAGCCTAAAGCCCCCTAAAACCCTTAACTTCAAAATTCGAAAACCCCAAATCCTGAACCCCCTAAAAAATCCTAAACCTCAAAACCCTAGACCCTAAATCCCGAGCCCCCTAAGACCCTAAACCTCAAAACCCTAAACCCTACCTTAACCCCAAGTAACCTACCTTTTGGGGGACTTTTATGGTTCCTTAGGGCCCAGGTACATCCCGAGCCCCCTAAAACCCTAAACCAAAAAACCCTAAACCCTAAAATCCCCTAAAACCCTAGACCTCAAAACTCCTAAACCCTAAACCCCAAAGCCCCCTAAAAGCCCTAAACCAAAAAACCCTAAACCCCAAAGCCCCCTAAAAAATCCGAAACCTAAAAACTCCTAGACCCTACACCTTGTGCCCCCTAAACAATCCTCAACTTCAGAATCTGAAAACCCTAAATCCCGAGCCCCTGGCTGCTCCATCTCCGACTCCAGGCTCGTGCGGAGCTGCACGAAGGGGTCGTTCGAAGCGGGCATCTGTGAAGGAGGAAGTAAGGGGATTGGGGTTTAGGGTTTAAGAGGTTTAGGGTTTGAGGGGTTTGAGGGGTTTGAGGGGTTTAGGGTTGAGGGTGGTTTAGGGTTTAGGGGTTTAGGGGTTTAGGGTTTAGGGTTTAAGGGTTTGCGGGTTTAGGGCTGTGAAGCAGGAAGTAAGGGTTTTGGGAGGTGCAGCCCCTAAACCCTAAACCCTAAAGCCCAAACCCTAGGAGTTCGGCGTTTTGGGTTCGGGGGTTTAGGGTCTAAGGTTAAAGTTTGGGATTTAGTGATCAGGGTGTTGGGTTTCGAGCATCTGCAAAGCAAGCCATGGGTGAATAAGGGGTTGAGCGGTATGAGCTTAAGGGTTCATGGGTTAGGGTTTCGGTTTAGGGGCTTGGAGTTACAGGGGCTTTTGGTTGAGTGGCTTAGGGTTGAGGGTGGCACGTGCAGTTCGTGGAGTCTATTAACACCTGACGCCCTACGACCCGCAACCCCCCCACACGTTACATGATATTGCTCGTCCGCTTTTGTCATGGTTCGCCGCCACCATCACCGCCAGGAAAGAACATAATTTATGTAATCGTGAGGATAGTGAAGGTGGTATCACTGTGGCATTGCGCGGGTGTCAGACACCAGGTTACCCCAATGCAGACTCGGATCTTTATCGTTCCGTTGGAAGGGTCACAAAAAGGAACCTCTGATTTCAAGAACTTCTGGCACTCCCAACATAGCCGTGCCCACCAACTAAATCCTGAACCCCGATACCCAAGACCCTCCTCACAAAATCCCGGGTCCGTAATTCACACATTGACAAGGTCACTGCTGTGCGGTTGCGGCTGGCTTTGCTGAGTCCACTGCCATAAACTCTAAACCCTTCATCCTAGGCCTTAAACCCCAAACCTTATTACGGGCTATGAAACCCTTGCAAAAACCCCGTATACACCCTTAAGGAACCTCAACCTCACTGTCACCTCCCATAAAGCCTTAAGACTCAAGAGGCCTTTCCCAGCAAGGTCGGATGACACCGGGAACCCGCGAGCTGAGCCGCAGACCGGCGAGCACATCACCGAGGGGTCGGCGCGCCACTGGCCTCAGACAAACGACTTTCTTAGGGCTTGCCCAGGGGCCCCAAAGTAGTTCCTTTTTGGGTGTGTCCTCTTTTTTTGGTTAGGGACTCTAATATACTACCCAAAAAGGAACTACTTTGGGGCCCCTGGGTGAGGCTTACACGTCTCATAAGCGTTCGGGAAAAAAGGGCTCTGCGACTGTCCTATAAGTATTATCTCGTAGATTTGGGGCCTAGAGGGATTCTACCGGGCTGTAAGACCTGAACAAATCACGGGGATCCACGATGCTCCGTTTTGCAAGGGTTTCATTCAGACGTTGTAAGTCTTTCTTGGCTTTGTTGAACGGGCCTTTAATGACATATTAGGATCTCGATGTTGATCTCGCTGCACCAGACACCTGACAGAACCGACTCAACACGGTTCATGCTACCCGTAAGGATCACTTTCAAGCAACTCTTCTGCTGACTGTGACGACTTAAACCCTAAACCCTGAGACTTTAAACCCTAAACCCAACCATGGCTAGACACCCCACAAGATTCAGCATGCATAAGGCTGTGAACGAATCTGGAGACTACAACACCTTTGTGAAACTGCGAACAGAGACTGCCTAGATACACAGCCGAATGCCGCATGAATCATGAGAATGGCACTTAGACTGCCACTATCATGGTCGGTTCACGCACTAGGAGTTTACGCATCGATTCTAAAACGGACAGCATCTTTCTAAGCTGTCGGCCGTCTGAGTCTACGCAACACCAGTGCCCACTGATCTTGGTGGGACTGTAGCCAGTGTCCTGTTCAAGACTCGCCAAAGCCCTTTACACAAACCCGAATGCCCGAAATCCGAAACTCAAAGCCCAACCCCAATGACACAATGCCTGCAGTAGCATTCGCGCATGAATGTCCAAACGTTTGAGTCTCATCTTTACACGACACTCCCACACAGATAGAAAACTGAAAGGGGGCAGGTCGGTGTGGGCCTAAACCAGGCCTCATGAACAGTGTTTTGGGGGTATGCTGTACTGATTTATATATATATATACACACACGCAGAGGGCTTTAGAAGAGTTGGACCAAGCCATCTAATTAGCGATTTAGACGTTTTTGTATTTGCAGTTCCATGCGAACTTGGAAACAAAGGTCAAGTACATCAGCCCTACACCATCAAAGCTTGGAGGAGGGTTGGTGGTGGGATCCTTCCTCAAACCACCCCGCAAGGAATCTGCCGTTCGAAAGCCCTTAAGATCAGTGCAAAACCGTACAACAACCCAAATAAACATATCTTATGTTTTAGATTTTGGGGCTCCTAGGGTTTAGCGTCTCCCAAAGCCTCTGAAACCCTATCGTAAGATACCATAAAGTCTTATTCAAGCATCATCACCCTAAAAGATCAACCCACAGCTCTGCACCCTGAATGTTACTCAACCCCAAACCCCAAAACCAAAACCCTAAACCAAACAACAATCGACTTGAGCCGAGGCGGGTCCTGCACATAGGCATAGCACTTGGAGCCGTCGTCTACACGCTTGCTTATCACCCAGCCTTGCAGTTCTATCAGACTTTCGGGTTTAGCATAGGGGTTTAGGGTTTAAGGCTTTGGGGGGGGGGGCCCTGCTACGATTCAAAGCTTGGATTTCAACTTAGTGCTTCGTTCGTTTCAGGGTTAAGGGCTTGCAGGGTGAAGGCTGAGGTGTCTGGGTTTAGAGTCTCAAACCTTCCGGGAGGGCTGTGCTCTCGGAAAGTGAACTTCATGGAGCGGTTCTGGAAGGGGCTCAAGGCTTGCAGGTACCAAGTTTTCCGAAGGGTAAGATTGCCTTAGGCACATACTATAGAGGCCTCAAAACTTAGACTCGGTGCTTGGAGTCGACTACACTGTAGTCACGGTCAGGAATAGGGACCCTGTATTCATGGTCCCGAAACCTTAGGAGGACCCTCAAACCCTCTTCGAGACCCTCACCAGACCTGACACCCAGCACAGTCCTGAATCTATTCTTCTCGAAAATAGCCTCAAGTTTGGGGTTTATGGTCAAGGAGCCACCCGAGCATAAGTGGCCGTAGACCCCAGAAGAGCCTGAGTTAAACCGGATCCCACAGAATCCATACCTTCTACGCCCAGGAGGTCAATTCGTATGTGTACTAAGCAAAGGTCGGGTCTTGCCAGTGTGAAAGATGTAGAGCGGGACCACGTCGCGCTTCACCCAAACGGGCCTAGCAGGAGTCACCACACTCTACATCCGGATGGAGCATTAACCCTAAGTCCTTTTCCCCCTCAACCACCGGAGTGTGCAAACCCAGGGGTATGTTAGTCAGTCAACAACTTGAGGTAGAGCTTCAGGTAAGACAAAACGGAACAACGTCTTGGCTATATACTGGTATGATTCTGTGGGGGCAAGTAAGGAATAGTGTTACTGGTTCGCCATGTTACGCCTCAAGCCTGGACCCTTGAATAAATCCCCGAAGGGACCCCTGAAGAACACTGTTCTGATCATTTAAGCATTGCATTAAAACACTGAGTCGCTAAAGGAACCGGGGAAATTCCAAAACCAAATGTAACGCCCATTCAAAGCCTACAAAACCGATAAGCAATGCGCATTAAGACCCTGCAGAACCAAAGGTAACCACGACAAGTGCTGGATCCTGCTAGCCAGGTCTTCTTCAGCCCGGGAAACCCTTAAACCCACAATGCATCAGACGAGGCGTCTAGGGTCTTGAGGCTGCTAGTGTCTGGGCGGCCGTTGAATTATGGCTCTTAGGCTTAGGGGCGTCATAATCGAGTATAGAACATACGAAACATCGCGAAAAGAACCGAAGAGACGAAAACGGAAATCGACTGCGCGGTCCGAATCTTCCCGGCTTCTTATCGTTTAGTATTCATCTAATTTGATTGGCTAGGTTGTAGTGTGAGGATACGGACACAATGCTTATCCCAAACCCTAAACCAAAACCATAAACCCTGAACCTGAAATTAAACCCTTGACCCTGTGGTTCTCTCAAGCTGGCAGGCAAAGGCCTTTCGTGGTGTGTGTTGCTCATCTGGTCATAGGTCCCATTGATATGCCAGTAACGGCCTTAGCATCGGGCTTTCCCGTTTGATGGTCTCTGTCTGGGTTTAGTGTTAAGGGTTCGATCTTTTTCCCAGGGCCTCTTTCTACCCTCACCGTCTGGGGATCAGGTCTTAGGGCTTATGGGGTTGGGATTTAAGGTTGGGGGCTCGAAGTGTCTGCAGGTTCGGCTTCGTGTAGGGTTTCGGTTCAGGTTTGCTTGCCTGGGTCGGAAAACCCCGCGACGCCCAATCCCCGAGTGCCAGGTAAACCCTTCACCAGGAACTCAAAATCAGAAATCCTTATTCCTTAGGGTTCCGCATTATACCCCCCAACCAAATCTAAATGCGAAGGCTGCAAAGGCCGAATTCTCGAGCTTAGACCTGACACTGCCGAAGTTTGCGCCGGGCATGTCCGGAGTGCGGCCTAAAGTGTGGCGTCTGCACTAAAGCTTTTAAAAAGGAACCCGGAGGACTACTATCCTTCAGCTCCATACATGAGGGACTTGGGTTTTGCAGTTCCTGGTGAAGGGTTTGCGTCTGTAAACGCAGGGTTCCCTTTAAAGTGTTCGGCTACAGTTCGGAGAAGTATATACTTGAAAAAGGATGCCAAGGAACATCTAAGCTTAGGGTCTGTTTAGGGTGTAGGAGTTTTGGGTTCCCAGAACCTAAAGTAAAAGCCAGAAAGTTGGAATATGATTATCCTAAACCCTTTATGGTAAATTATAAGGTATCCTACCCTGAAACCATATTCCAACTTTCTGGAGTTCCCTTTAAAGACAGCCCAGAACCCTAAACCGAACACTCCAAAAAACCCCTGGTGGAGCCCTGTAGTCTGAAACCCTGAAGCCCCAAACTCGTCACTAAGCCCGAAAGCTAGGTACTGTTGATAATATAAATCCTGCATTACCTTAAGGACCCGAAACTATGGGAACTATGGTATATTCCTTATTATGGGTAATGCAGGATTTATATCATCAACCGTAGTATTATTAGGGAGACCCCTTAAAGGGTACCCCTTCTGAACCCTACTTCTGGCTCTCTTAAAAAGGGGGCCTTATTGAGAGGGTCTATATCCCCCAAGGGTCCCCCCTAATCCTAATTCCCAAAAGCCGTAAATCAAAGTCAAAACCCTGGTTCAAGTAAATGCTGGGAACCCTGAGCTCTGTAAACTCCAAACCTCCATAGTGGGCTAAGCCCCGAATGACACTAAAACCGCAAACCCTAAAGGCCAAGCAACATTATTGCTTATTATCAACCCACAACTCTTCTAAATCCTGAAAAGTCACAGTGAGCTAAGCCTAAGCAGCTAAGCGACCACTCCGCCCCATGATCTTCAGAGATGTCGCCATCCTCAATCAACACCTGTTACGTCTGTCCATTGCGAGATTCCCAGCATACGCTCTCGCCGATACTTTTCGAGCCCTGTATGCATGCACCAACTGAATAGAAACCCGACTAGCCCGCCGACATTGTCATCCAATATGCGATCTAGTGTTGGGGGCTAAGGGCTGAACACCCGTCATAATCTGCATATAGAAGAAATGGCCGAACACCCTAAGTCAAATTGTTGTTAAGACCCCGATAATACACATGCTTCTACTAAGCACACCCTGATCCCGGCTGAAGATGACTTCCTTGTTTGGTTGAAGACAAAGCAGGTTTCGGGAGCATGGGTAACGTGGGAGTTTCCAAAAATTACTGTACCTTATTTGGGGGCTCTTACAATAAAGGTCCTACTATTTCGGGTACTATATTGGGGTCCCCTATTTTCGGAAACTCCCATGTATCTACCGAACTTGACGGACTGTTCCCAGAGTCTCCCCCAGCCTGCCCAGAATCATCTATCGTCACTTAGGGTTTAGGGTTTAGGTTAGGGGACTCGCGATCCACTCAGCATCCGTCAACATTAAACTCGAAATGCAACACCGTAAACACGAAAACCTGAACCTCGATAGAGTTCCGGGTTTCGCGCTATGTAAAGTAAGAGCCAGAATTTTGAAGGTTATTATCCTGACGTCCCTGAGGGCAAGAATAGGAATCCAAGCACCAATCATCCTAAACCCATGTTCCAACTTCCTCGATACCCACGCCCTCAAGCCTAGGTGCTTGTTTCCCAAGCTCTTATCAATCCTTCATATCCCTAAACCCTAATCCCAAATAGCCCTACACCCAAAAAACCCTAAACCCTAATCTCCGCATGCCTCGGCTCGGAAGCAGGGCGCTAGCTTTGGCGCGGTCGCTGCAAAGCCAGGAGACGGCAACGGCGCGCGCGAGAAGGGACAACCGGAGCTCCGGATGGGGGGCCGCTTGAAATGAAATTGTGTTAATTCGGCGTCTGGTGGTTTCGGGGGTGTAAGCTTACAAAGTGTAGGCCATTGGGCATAGGCGGCATCGGGCTTAAGAGTGAGAGTTTATGCTTCAGGGTGGTTTGGTTTGGGCTTTTTGGGGTTCGGATTCAGGGCTCCGTGAGTTTTGAGATTGCAAGCTTGCTACATATAAGGGCTACTAGAAGGGATCTATAAAGGTACTAGAAGGGATGTATAAGGGTAATGTAGGAGCCTGATTACTATAAGGGATCTATAAGGGTTATTATGGACGTGTGCTTCAACAGGGTGTGATAGCTGGTCTAGGCTGCTGCGGAACCTAAACCCTGTAATGCACTCTATCATCAAAACTACACCAGACAAAATAACTAACCATTGATATTGGGGGAGCTAAGGAGGAAGGGCTGATGATAATCCCCACTAGATAAGGAGCTAAAGAGCCAAGGGAGCCCCCCAGATAAACCCGAAACCCTGAGCCAAAACCTCCAAGATGACGGTCCGTCTGCACAAGACAAGGCCTAGGGGTACTTAGAAATAGTTGAAATAGTTTTTAATTTTTGGGTATTATAATCCCTAAGAAACAGCTAGAACTAAAATTTTTGCTAGGGTTCTAAGTTCAGTATAGAAGGAAAGTGGGGCTGCATTCTATGGGTTCGGGATTCAGGCTTAAGGGTGGGGTGCTGAGTGCTCGCTGATAAGACAGTCAGGCATATGGTTCCCTAAGATGGTTCCCCATAAGGGTACCCCTTGCTGAAATCCGAAAGCCTGAAACAAACCCGCATGAAACCCTTTAGACATTATGAAACCCTACTAGAACCCTAGTAGAAGCCCAAAGAACAGAACCCTTCTGCCTACGGCACCCTTAGACGAAAACTGCTTCTGGACTATGTCTTAGGACAGATAGCCCTAGGGTATAAGTACCCTATCATCGTAAGCTCGCCAGAGGAAACATTAGTCATTAGTACCTAAGCATCACAAACTCCTCCGGATACTTATTACGGATGCTACTGCATACATACTACTACGAATCCCCAGCTCGAGTACCGAATCATCCGCTACCTTGGACCCTTGGGAAAGCTCTCGGGTCATCGTCCTTGAGCTTCCGAGCCAGCTGGATGTCGTCACCAGTGAGCTTGTGTCCCTCGACGGTGATCTCTCCTTCCAAAGGGAGCCGCTGGATTGAAAGATATTCTGGGTCTCGTGGTTGCTGTTTCAGGGTTCTGCGTGTTTACTCTGAGTGCCAGGACACTTATGAAGGGATCTCTACCACAATCCTAAACATCCTAAATGCTGAAAACCTGAAAAGCCCTACGCCCTGCACATCCTAAACAACAAAGCTAAAGCCTGAACAGCCAAGAACTTTCAAATCTACTGATGTTGGAGGTTTCAGATTCAGGCTCCTGAAGTCCACCCCCAACCCCACGTAACAGGAGGCCCCTTTCAAGAAGGAATCCCCCGCCCCCACTGGAACCCTTAAAGGAAGCCTCCCCAAAACCTAAACCCTAAACCCTAAAACCTAAACCCCAAACCCTAAGCCCTAAACCCTAACCCTAAAAGGGCCTGTCTTCTCGAAGTCGACGAGCTGCGTCTGGCTAAGGTTCGTGACGGCGTCCTGGGCTGCTCGGCGTGAAAGTGTTGGGTTAAGGGCTTAGGGTTAAGGGCTTAGGGTTTGGGGCCTGGGGATTCATAGGGTTTAGGGTGTATGGGGTTTAGGGTTTAGGGGGCCCTAGGGTTTATGGGGTTTAGGGCTTATGGGGTTTAGGGTTTGGGATTTAGGTTTTTTGCAGGGTGTTGTTGACTGTTTTTTAAGCGCTGCATAGGGCCGGGCTAAGATTCTGGGGCGAGAGTTTGGAGTTTAATGGTTATCCGAAACCCCAAACTCAAGACATCCTGAACGCACGACTCGAATGCAAACGGTTGAAGAAATGACAGCAGTGTCACTGCCAGTCATATACGATGATGCTACAGTATACCCCGACACCATATTCCAATCACTAAAGGCCCTGGCCCCTGTACTCATGCTAAATCATAAAGAGCCCTGCCAAAACCCCAAAATCTGAGACACCCCAAAGCCCCAAGTCCTTACATTACCTTTAGCTCAGAAGTCTCTGGGCTCTAGAACCGTTGAAGGGTGCCTGTCTGGTGGGGATTCCGACATCCCTAAAAGGGTTAACTGTCAGATCGTATCCTTGTGTGGTCTTTGGGGCCCCGACTGACTTTACTCGAAACCCAAAACACTCCAAAAGCCCAAACGCTAAACAGCCTACTGACCCTACCCCCTAAGCCGTCCCTACTGACTTAACCCAAGCCTCCATGTTAAGGACCGCCCCGCCTTGACAGTCTTCATGTCCTTGCCGAGCCGCTTGCCCAGTGCCTCCCCGTCAGCTTCTTTGCATTCTCAAGTCTTTAGAACGGAAGGGTGTATACGATGGTTCTTGCTTGAAGATGTTTCAAGGTTTCTTGAACTGAAGTCCGTTTAGGATTGTTGAGGGAGGGTCGTGTCAGGGTTATATAAATATACAGATGTCATGTACACCTATACATCTATATGCCCACCAATGACTTCAGACCTCGAAACTAACTTCAATTCGCCAGCACCGCGACTCAGATGCTGATCCTACTCGCAGCTCCACTTTAAAGATTCTTCATCTCTGTGGGGATGTCGTACGATGGCCCGGCCAATAATGAAACGGCCTTATGACTAGACTAGGGTTTGGGGGTATGTTGTAGTGCGACAATATAGAGGGACTGTAAGCGGTCTCATTACTACCGATGTTTTAGCAGCCTATACTGGGGTATACCGCAACACTACCGTACGGTTTAGATAGGGGTACACTCAGCATCATTTATGTTCAGAACCCCTCAACCCGAAACAGAGACCCCACCGTTGCATTGGCCCAATCCGAAATCAACTAGCTATCAAACGGCCAAGTCCAACAATTTAGAATGTCTTCAAAGGGTTCCTGCAAATCCTTCAGGTTTAGAGTTTAGAGCCTCTTATTGGATAAGTCTTAAACGGCTCCCTGCAAGGCTTGCACAAACCCTCACCATAAGCCCTTACCGAACACATGTAACCTCTGAACCGGCAAACCCCAACACCCTAACCCCAAGACCCCCAAAGAACCTCCAAACACTGCAAGCCCACGCCTCCAAGCTTAAACCCCCGAACACCCCGAAACCCAAAAGTCAAGCAGTGAGCCTTGAAGTTTAAGGTGCCAGACAGCGTGATCTGGGACCATGGATGGGACGAAGGCTCTTGAAACGTGGGTATGAAGGGTGCTCCATGTACACCTGTGTCATATCTGTGTATGTGGCGCTCCCTTGGGAGTCAGGGTTCAGGGTTTAGGGTACATGCGCGAAGTCATACATACATGCATACATATCTGCATACATGCTTAATACATGCATACTACATACATGCATACATACAATCGTTGTCTTGTTTGTCTTTACTTTGCTTCTTGTTCCTCCACACGGTGGGGTGAGGGCCGGTCAAGGACTATTGTAACTGCGGCTTTTTATTGCCGGTCCCACGAAAAAAGAAACGACTCTGTCTGGGGCGATGCCCGAAAGTCGAAGGAAACCTTGAACCGTAAACCTTTGATCCCCAAAACCTAGACCCCTATAAAGCCCTTCAATAACCCCTAAACCCTTACCAAGCGATTGAAGAACCTTAAACCCTAAACCTCCACATAATGGAACCACAAGCCGGGACGACTGAAAAAACATTCAACCAAGTCTGTTCATATGAGGCAGGCGCTTTTTTCAGCCTGGTCCGAAGTCACTGTAGCCAAGCAAACCCTCTTAGACCCGGGCACTGGCAAGGTGCCGTCGCCCATGGTTTCATCCGAATGAGGTTAGTTTCCAACTTGAAGACGTCGCAGAATGATACATAGTGGCACGATGTGGCCTTGTTCTTGTGAAAGTATGCAGACAGGTATATGAAGGCAGCAAGGACCGTGCAAGACCACTCCCAAACCCGAAAGGTTCGGGGTTTAGGGCTTCAGGGTTTCGGGGACAGGGAA